CAGGCTGGTTGAAGTGATGCTGGAAGAACCAATGGGAGGCGGGTTTCCGGCTATTATGAAGTGGGACAAAGCGACTCAGGTGAGATGGAATTTGTGCTGAGGACTCCGATCGGCGAACCAAGTAATGAGAGTCGATATAGTTCCAACTGTTTGGCATTTTAATTATGTTCAGAACGTGGGCGGCTCACCACGGTATACTAGTTTTGTGCGATCGTCGCAAAAAGTCATGCAGAGGTGTCTCATCCCGGATTGCATTCACAGATGTTTGTAAATGGGTCTATGGGGTTTCCATGCCATCTGGACAAAAATGAAAAAGAAACTGCTGACCATGATGTCGAAATTCAAATGCGCATTTGTGCATACAGGTAGCCGGATTACGGGCATCGGATTCAGAACGCAAAGCCAGGTTTCAAAATCTGTTCACGACGGCTTAGCCTTTCCATTTGACTGTTTTTCGCGGACTTCTTCTGTCGGACTCCTGGGCCCTGTCATACAAACAAGCATGTCTCTCAACAACATGCCCTTTGATTTTTCCACTGCAGCTTAAGCCTTTGCTCTGCAAACTTTGTGGAAAGTTGTTCGCCGTGTAAAACCCCACCTTCTTTCGGTAGGATTGGTGTGATAAAGCGCTGGACTGTGCTTAAACATGAGTTTTCTTTGCTACTATCGGCTGACAGCGAGCATGACCAACCATGAAAGTTACTTGAGAGGGGGAGTTTAGGAACACCCTAGGAATCTAAGAAGGTGCTCAGTGACACGGTCAAGGAGTCAGAAGGAACACCTGCCTGCTGCCTCAAATAAAAATGTTTACGTGCCTTAATCGGCATGCAATTAAATGTTGACGTTGAAGATCAAGATAAACAGACACGTGAATACAAGTGGTGCGATGATGACGAAAAACCAAACGATGCACGCCATGTGCAACGTTTTGCGACAAATGTGCAAACGTTAGTGGCTGTCCCGTGGCTTTGTCACAAGCGCAACATTTACGAGTATTTATTGAAGTAACGCATTTAGTTGTGCATCGCCTAGCTATACGTTTCATGCTACATTGCTGCATTGTCGCCATGTCTGTGACGGACGCTACACTATGTTGTACACAAGGTACATTTAACTTGCACCCAAGCTAATCAATGTTTATATCCGTCATTTAAGTTTTGCAGCATTTATTAAATAGTAATTTATCCAAGTGCCCATCACCCCTTGAAACCTACACGTTTGCGAGTTTAACTCGTCGGACGACCAGTTTGCCCACTCACAAGCATTTATTTGGACGGATGCAAGTGAATCCACACCCGGTTTTGTAAATGTTAGACGACAACCTCACCGCTGTTGTGAAGGCCTGCGGCCCCGGCGGCTTGCCCTGACACTAGCAAGGGGTCAGAAGATGAGTAGAAGGAAGAAAGAATGTTATGAGTGGCTTCGACTGAATATATTTAGCGTTGATGTCGGTTGGAAAGTGATGTCTAAGGCCAATGTTAAAGCGTTACCACAGATATCTAATACCACTAGATCGGCAACATCCATGTTGAATTATTACCAGGCGTATGCAATCTAAAGAGGGGCTGTAAAATGGTGTAGACTCGAAGGCAAACTAGGCAAATTAAGGTAAACCGGGTGAGCTACGGGTAACCCAACCCGACGGTTCTCTTTTGTGGAATACACGCTTTGATCATCCAAAATTAATGCTTGCTTGTTTGCGTAACCTAGACGGCCACTGCGTACCTAGCTGAACCATACCCTGGACGCTTATGCACGTGGGTTTAAGTTAACGCAATGCGCAATGCCCTTCTTTGTGTGTGTGTGTGTGTGTGTGTGTGTGTGTGTGTGTGTGTGTGTGTGTGTGTGTGTGTGTGTGTGTGTGTGGTGTGTGTGTGTGTGTGTGTGTGTGTGTGTGTGTGTGTGTGTGTGTGTGTGTGTGTGTGTGTGTGTGTGTGTGTGTGTGTGTGTGTGTGTGTGTGTGTGTGTGTGTGTGTGTGTGTGTGTGTGTGTGTGTGTGTGTGTGTGTGTGTGTGTGTGCGTGTGTGTGTGTTACCATGTCATATGAGTGCATCCTAAAAAAGGAATGAAAAGAGCACGCGGCGCACATCATCGAGCACCATGTGGTGAAGCCCTTGAGACTGCAAAAGTCGTATTAACGCTCATGCGTGATGGTATACCGGGATTTGAGCCCGAGTCTCCATGTGGTAGCCGAGGGTGCCATTCACTTGCCATTACGCCCCCTAATACGGTATTTTATTACAGGTCAAGTGTATCAGCAATTTGTGTGATTGCTATAGATTATGGTAAAGGTATAATTATCGGCATACTGATTTCGGTATGATGATCTTCGTCGGTGAGCTCGCGTGATGCGGACGGTGCGCACGGTACGCACGGTTCCAGCGGTGGGGCGTACTCTCATCCAGCTGCCAGGAGGCTGAAACACCCGTGCCTACAACATCCTGATGCGCCCCGAATCCCCGGCCAGGCTCCAGCTACTGAGCCTCGGCCTTGGCTCCCAGTAGATGTCTCTCGTCCCACGAGACGTGGGCACACTGCTCGACACCATCGTGGACCAAGGGAAGCCCGTCATATTTCAGCGGGCTCCGGACCACGCGGGCCTGACGAGCGATGGGGCCGCCGACCGAACTGCCAACCAACTTACCGAGCGCTGACGTCGGTGGCCAGAACACAGCCCCCCCCCCCCCCTGCCACTCCGATGGCCTTCTGCCACCAGACCAACAGGATGGCCGGTGGCCGCGCGCGCTGTCACACACTCACGCCTGGCGCCGCCGACCTCTCACCAATGCGAGCAGGTCAGGCTGTCCCAGCTCAGAACAGACTGCACTTCACCGACGGGGGTGTACCGCTACCGGAGCGGCCTGGCCGCAGACCCGCTCGAGGGGAGAGCAGAGAGCGAGGAACGACGTAGGATGACCCCAGCCGCTCCGCGAGCTCACCACAAGGGCCGGCTCTGGTGTCACTCTCCCGCCGTTGGCGAGTGCTCCCGGGGCCGACTCCTCGCGCCGCGAGGTGCCTACGCCGGCTGTAGCGAGCGACATCTCTGCCCGCGTGCCTTGTGCAACGCACCCACCATAGGGAGTGGCACGTGGATTGCAAAGAAAACAAGCGTCTCTGGAGAACTGGTGGAGACATGCCTTGCACCATGGCTGGCCCTTTTACATCAAACCGATCGCAAACGGCTGGGTTTATTACAACCATGGTAAATATTTTCGAACACTAGCTTAAGCCAGCGCGACGCTAGTCCACATCTTTTCGTTTTCGGGCATTAAGGTTGCATTTGCAGGCATCACGCTCCGCTTGAGTGCCGTTAAGTAGATAACTTCTCATCCACAGCACATTGTTGTTGCGGACGACCCTCTGAAACACCCATGAGCGAAAAGTGGGCCGACTTGCAGTTGGTGCGTGCCGTTGCCTCGGCAAGATCTTTTCTCCGCATCCCGGTTTTGGTCTTCAAGCAAGTTCTGCATCGCTCACAGCTAACGATGGGTCGAAGGCCTGTCGGTGGGGGCTGCTCTGAGGCCCTGAAAATCGTCCATCTGACCTAGGCGCGGGGCGGGGTGCCTCCAAACGGCCCGCGGATCGGTGTTTCAGTGTGTTGATCAGTGGTAAATGCAGCTGCTGGGCTGGCAAAAGAGGCTGTGGCAATGACCGGAGCGAGCCTATTCAGCACGGTGTTGCATATGGCGGGACAGAGCCCGTTTGGCTGTTTCTACGTCTGAGCCGCGGTCATCCACAATTTGTGCAGCCAATGCTGGGACGTTGCAAGAGCACAAGAGCCTACCATTTACCAGCTTTCCTTCGCAACGATGCTCATTTGCGGAAAAATTATAGCCAAGCGGTCCCCCTGTCGGTGATTCAAGTTTCATCAGGAGACCACTTGCGCTTGCTGAGAACGAACCGAGAGTCGGGCGGCTACTTGGAATGAGTCTGGCCTGGCCCACAATGTTCATATGACAAAATCAGGGGATTCGAAATGACACAAGCCTTTGGTGACCGCAACCAGCGCAATGCAAAACGCACACCTCTTCCGTGCAAATTGTTCATAGGGAACTGGACGATGTGCCTGCGTCGTTTTCATGGCTGGCTGTCTCAGCCTAACCCACATAATGTTTTTTCAAGGCCAAATTCGGAAAATGTGTCATCGGTGATTTTTTTGGTCGAAAGCTGGGGCAGCCTTCCATTAAGCTCACGCGGTGTCGAGCGCGTGCTGGCTTCAGTCAACTCTGGCCCGGTGAGAGATTGTCTTTAGGAGATTGGGTCCCACTTGCACAACATTTTCGAGCGTTTTACGTGCTTCTGATTTATTTTGCTGTGCCCGGAGCGTTCTTGTTGCGCTGTGATAGTTCTGCGAACATTTTATCCTAGTATAAGCCCCCCGGGGACGAGAACCATTCGATGATGCTTGTGTTATAGGGGCGTTGCAGCCAACAGCGTGCAAAACTTTTACACTGTGCAACCTATGACAGAGTGCAAAACTGGCAATGCTTCAGATTTTCTCTATTCTCTGAACTTGCTTTTTTAAATCCTACTCATTCTAAGATTAATAAAATCAAAATATTTTTACCGTTGATTCCTTTAGAGGTTCAGATTATCATAGCAGTCTGTACCTTCACTTTCTGTAGCAAGAGCAGGAAGTCCGTCTATAAAACAGCTTTAAGACTCAACAAATCTCAGCCGCCTACAGCATGGACATTTTAGCACTTCGCTCCTACCCAGAGCGGTGATGGCCAAAATAACGACGGAACGAAACTACCAGCTGCAACCAACACCTCGAAGCCAATGCAAAAATTTTGGCAGCCAAGTAGTGATGTGAACATTTCCCTACAAACTACATTTAACGCCAGATTCTCACAGCCGCTGCTTGCCGTGTGCTCTAGTTTGTCTGTTTCTGGCGTCGGGTGGCCTAGCTTCGCAGACGGGCTCCTGACCGCTCCACTGCTTGCTGGGCAGACAGGTACGCGTCGCGTCGTATCTGTTTTTGGCGTCGGGTGGCCTACCTTCGCAGACGGGCTCCTGTCCGCTCCACTGCTTGCTTGGCAGGCAGGTACGCGTCGCGTCGCCCAGCAGCATGAAGCCCCGCGCGCACGAGTACTGCGCCGTCGACGAGAAGGTGGATGCCTTCAGGCTGACGTGGCCATTTAAGGGCTGCCGCGGCGGCGCACACCTCACCGCTGCAACAGCGCAGAGGACACGGACGGCGCGTCAGAGGCGTTCCCGACGATAGGGCGGGCCTGTCTGGATGGACAGTCACGCAGAGGAGAGAAGGAGAGGGAGAGAGGGGTCGAGAAGAGAGGAAGAGAGAGGGAGAGAGAGAGAGACAGAGATAGAGAGAGAGAGAAAGATAGAGAGAGAGAGAGAGAGAGAGAGAGAGAGAGAGAGAGAGAGAGAGAGAGAGAGAGAGAGAGAGAGAGGAGAGAGAGATGGAGAGAGAGAGAGAGGGGGGAGGAGAAAGAGCGATGATGTGACGATTTGATTGTTCTGGACGCACCTAAGGGCTGCGACGCAATGTCCGTGATTTAGAAGAAATATGTCAGTGCAAACCCGTCAAACCCGGCTGCCTGGGCCGGTGTGGGAGCGCAGTCACTCATTCATGTGCGGCACGCTCACTGTTTTCTGGAAGACTTTCCTGCGGCCGGTGAACAGGTGACTGATTCATTTGCGAAACCACCAGACAAAGCATTTTCGACGTAACAAGGATCTAGTTTGAGAAGTATGCATTGCATGAGCTGTTTGAATCCATTGGACAGCATGACATTGCCATGCAACGAGCCGCTCAAATCCAATGGCTGCCGGTCAGCACTCCTTTCCGCCGATACACGGCCTTCAGGAGGATCGGAGCGACCTCTGGTCACATCTGAACCTGCAGTGTAAATTCACGTCACACCTCCATGCTGGCTCCATGCATCTGCCTTCCTGAATATAGATGACTATCGACGGGTATGGATGGCTTTTCATATGTCACTGCGCAACAAAGGCAAAGATCCGGCCGCTGCTACACTGCATGTACCGCACCAACACGATGGCGCATGGTGGCCGGCGCCTCTCCCACTGGGATTGTGAGTTTGCTTAATCCATTTCGAGTGAAGCGTTCGGACGCTGCGAGAATATGTGTTCAGTTCATCCAGTGGTGGATTTTCGTGGCTCACACCGGTGGTGTATTTTGGTACTCGCACACACTTGTGATATTGCACGCATACCAAGTCGCTTCCACCGTTTGGGCGCAGATAACCAAGGTAGTTGAAGCGCCCGAAAACCGAGCGCGCGCGCGCGCGCACATACACACACACACACACACACACACACACACACACACACACACACACACACACACACACACACACACACACACACACACACACACACACACGTATATATATATATATATATATATATATATATATATATATATACGTGTGTGTGTGTGCGTATTGGTATATCTTGGCAGAATCCATTCTTTGATGCCTGTTTGATTAAAGCATTGACGAGCTTTTCATTCAGCGTTCGAATTTCCGGGCTATTGACCTTGATGCATGTTAAATGTGCCCATAATGGAAACACTACAAAAGCATGAACACATTGTCACAACCACATGAATAGTACTCATCACCCAACACCTAATAACTTAAGGGTTGCGCAAGACTTTGTGTGTTTATGATTGGAGAGAATTCGTTAATTAATTGCTTATTCGGATCGAGTAGCGCAAACACATTTGCAACAAACCTATTTGGTGACTTGTGTCATTTATGTCAGCCGAGTTAATTTGATTAATAGACATTAAGTTAATTAACGAACTTCCTCTATTCGTAACAAAAAAGGAAAATCTTGCACAATTCTTGAGTTACAAGGTGGTGGACGGTGAGTACTGTAGATGTGATTGTGGCAACTTTAGGTATAGATTGTGGCAAAAGATGTGATTGCGGCAATATTGACCCTTACAAACTCAAAATTTATTTCTTGTGCCATTTATACTTCGACGATAAGACACGACCTCGAAACGTAGAATTTACATATTGGCAATATATGACTGATTTTGCACGAATTACCTTTGATCTAAACTGTAATGCAAAGTCAAAAGCCCGGAAACTCTAACAATGTATAAAAAACTCAATGCTGAGTCAGCGGCCATTTTTAATAAAAAATGCACCTGCATCATACCACATACGCCACATGTCCATGCATACAATTTATAGCCAGACACAGATTTTTGTGTCAACTGTATCACGAAAATTGGAGATGAGTGATCTCTGCATTCAGCGCACTGCGTAAAAGACGTGATATCCGAACGAAACGCTCTTGCCGCACCGCTACTGACGCTACCGGCCGCGGGATTGCGGCGTTCGGGTCACACCAAATCCTCTGAAGTGATGGAAACTGTCGTGTCACAAGATTTTGTTCAGAAGGCATGTCTCTGTCGGTTGGTCCGGTAGCAGTACGCAGGACTTGGGATGGAGATCTGAAGTAATGCTTCACAATAGTCGCAATACCTGTAGATTGACTTGAATCCGATTCACGAGACTGTCCGAAATACGTGGTCGGATCCACCTTGATTTCGCCTTCGAAAGAAGAGGCTGGGCCGACTTCACCTCTGGCGCAAGAAAATGTCCAATTCCAGAGACGTTCCCAGCAAGATTAACCCAATCAAAGATGTTGCAAAACCAGTCACCAGGGCAGTGTAGTATGGCAGCTTGTGAACCTTGATGAAAAGAAAGTTGGAAGATAGCTTATATAGATGGCATATATCATGATCATAATAGTTATTTTACACTCATTGCACGGACTGTGTGACTTTCGAAGCGAAGACACAGAAATTTCATGAACCTTAGTGGGTTGTAACTTTGTAAGGTAAAGCTTGCATTGATCCGAGACTGAAAAAGTAAGCAAATAGTAAGTACTGGTTTTCAGTTCATTGCACTTCTGGCATACCTACCCACATGAAGTTTACCTTCAGCGGTCGTACCAATGTCTTGATTGATATACCGCATGAGAGTGAAAAGTAATGCAAGAGTCTTAGTGATAGTTTAAGAGACATCGTAGCATGATTTTATTGAGCGCAATGTCGTCGTAACCGATTGTCGACAAACATTGGACTGCATAGTAAGGCTGAGGCTGAAGGCCAAATCAAAATACCTGGACCTGGCTAACCCTGTGAATCCCACAGTCGTTCGCAAAACTCTTCTGCGACGAACTTGAAGATTTCCCAAGGCCGGTAAGTGATCCTGTTCACGCGTTTAATTTATCCAACTTGGAAAACGACGGCAAAGAGAAAATTAGTATTTTGCGTCAGCGTTCATGTATGTCGTGCCGTTTCAGACCAGGCGATCACACCAGACGGGCTATTCAGTGTTTGATGGAGCGCCAAGTAGACACTTGACTGTTGGTCATGTTTTCGTTGGATCCGTCCACCGCGCACAGAACGCTTGGTGCTAATTGCGTCGAAATCTATAGCTTGTCTCACGTTTAGTCTCTTGTTCATTCATCCAGCTTGCATAGATGGCACAAGTCACGAAACAGATTGGTTGCAAATGCGTGTGCGATACTCAATCCGCACGAACACTGGAAATATAAACTTGATACGCCTGAAGAAAAATGCCGTATTATTCTGTCCCGAGTAGGCACAAACATCTTATTCCAGCCGCCCCGCCCCCCCCCCCCCCCTGAACGACATACAACTAAAGAAATATGAGCTATCTCCCACCCAACTTTTCAAGCAAGTTATTACGCTCAGTTACTTTTAATGTTCAAAGGAGTTCACCGTACTGAACATACAACATCTTCCTTGTCAGGCAGCGGAGATTGAGATGGCTTGCGGGCATCACGAAGGGGTTCCTTGATGCTTGTTTTGTTCTGCATGATCTATTATTCTAACAGCGGCCAAACAAGTCCAACTTCAACACCGGCGCAGGAACGACTTGTTTGAGAAAATGGGTTGACTCATACTTTGCTTGAAACTAACGCTGAACAAAAATGGGTCTACAGAAAGAGCGCAGGCGTTACTGCGATGCACATGGAAACGTGAATTTTGCATTACGTTATTTCAGTGTAATTCATGCAGGCACTGAGCACAGTTTTCATGGTCCCTCAATGAATGCCCCATGATCCCCCACGATGCCTCAATGATGCCCCAATGAACATTGGGGCGTCGAATGTGCACTTTTCCCCGGACCCAGCTGCCTCTCTGGAAACATGTTCTCGCATGTAAGCTGTCTAAGCATAATAATCAATATGTATCACTAGGCAGCCCTACAACCAATATTGGTATAAGTCACTTAATTATTGTTCCCGTTCCCCATTCTGGCACGGGTTCCTAAAGCGTTTAGAGTTCATGACTGTTTCTATGTTGTGATCGCAGTGCGCTTAGTTTTTCTCGGATCGGATCAATAAAGCATGCATTTAATAGTTTTTTGTCATTACATGTGAATCTCTTATGAGAAACTCTTGATCCCCGTTGATTGCGTTGAAATTGCTTGACAAAAACGGTGGTTATAGAGGTCCAGTAAGGAACTAAATTTGGGGGCTTTTGTCTCCCAATTGCACCCTATCAAAAATTCTGTTAGATTAGTTTTGTGTGTTAGATCTTGTCGGTAGACATGGACTGACCTTTAATTATTGAAACTAAAGGATAGTTCCCCTTCCCTCGGGTCGTTGCCGGCCCGCGCTGATTCCACCCGGAATGGGGTTAAACCCGTCTCCGACGTCCCTCGGCAAATGCACTGCATCAGTGAAGTAGCTCCCCGGATCCCTCTTCGTTTGTGTGTTTAAGCATGATTCCCGAGCTACAGGCATTTCTCTTTACCTTTGTGACCACCAAGCTGTCGTTCTGCCATGACGGCGCTATCCAGACCCTGGCATGTATTTGCTATTCTCGCGGACTACTTGTGCGGACAGGTAAGCTCGCTATTTAAGCAGGAGCCAGAGGGCCAGAGGGCGCGACAATTAGCTTGCTTCCGTCATCTCGGAGAGAACCTGAGCTTACATCAGCGAATCCGATTGCTGGTAGGGAGGTCAAGATTAGGGGTCACTCAGCATTAGCGCATCCATGCTGACGGAAGCACTTGTAAGGCCGTGCAGTTAAATAAACTGGCCAGGAAGAAGTGGCACGGGCTTTACGTCACACTAGTGTGCCAAGAGCAGCGGTGAATATGAGTTAAGCTTAGCAACATGATATGATGGCAGATGCTGAAACATAACTTCCAAGTGGCAAAGCATCTATTGTGCAACTGCTCGTACCAAATGAGCCTCGGTGTGCTATATCAACAGAGTTGACGGTGTTATCTGATGATTATTTTAAGTAGTTTTCTCATGTCATACTCAGAATGGGTCTTCATAACCTTCCACCACAGACACCTGTGTTTCGTGCGGCCTTCAACGTAGAACCGTGTATCGGGTGTTAGGATGTGGGAGTTCGGATTATTGATCATTTTTGGCTCATTTTAGGTGGCAATGTCTGTACAAATTCGAAGCATTTTCTGGATTGACGTGCGTTGGTTCTCAAATGACATATTTTGCTCATCCACTCTGACCATTTTAACCTGTGGTCTCTCGTGATCGTGATGGAGGCCAGCTGGAAGCGCCGGGTGCTGTGAATAAAATCAATGTTTTTTCGTTCTAATGTCCTATAATCAGCAAGTCCTGGTAAATTGAAGGTCGTTAACGCAACATAAAAACTCCTGAGCTCAAAAGTCGGCACTGGTTACTTTCAGAGCCGCTCAGAGATTGAGGTGCTCGTTTGAACCATGCGGGCAGCAGGTTATGCCATTTCTTTACTTATCTCCTGCTGTCACAACGCCTGAAGTGCCGTACCAAGGAATGGAAGGTAATTTTGCGCGCACATCCAATGGCAATGCCATAATCAGCCGCGGGTGGTGCACAGCGGCCGAAATAATTTCATGTCATGCACAACTCAGCAGTTTGTGGTATTGTACGAATATATAATAATATAATACCTAATATAATATAATAATACCTAATGTAATATAATAATACCTAAAATTATATAATAATACCTAATGTAATATCTAATAATAATACCTACGAACATAATACCTATCATGCAAGCTTTGACCCAGCATGTTTCTAAAAATGGGTCAGTAACAATGTGTTGGTTATAAATTCATTACAAAGGTTGTTCTTGGCATGTTCCAGTTGCCTGGCGTGCCGCACTCAGTACTTCAAGTCATGCGAGTAAAACGCAAGCTTTTAGCGATAGCCTGTAGCTCTGTTTTGATGCATCAGTGTTTATAATTTTGCTCATACTCTGCAGCAACTGAGCAATTTTCAACAGTTTGCGTTCTCCCGTCATATCGCTTGGACGCGTCGGGTACAACCAACCGAGTATGAGACTTTCAGGGCATAATAATCAGCGTACTGATGACTGCAAGCAAGCATAATTATTTCGGCCACTGTGGACCACCCGCAGCTGATAATGACATTGCTATTGGACGCGCGCGCAAAATTGCCTTTCATTCCTTAATGCGGCACTCAGGCGTCGTGGCAGCAGGAGATAAGTGCAATGTTTTTTTTCATCAATTCGCACATGGTAAACACGTGCGACAACTGTGAATGATGACCCTCTTACAAGGTTCAATTCATCCATGGTCAGACATAGCATTTCCCATTGTTTGGAAATATTCTGATTCTTTCATACAGGAGCCAATAGCTGTAGTGCATGCATGCTTGTGCAATGTTCATACAGTATGTCACACAGGTCTCCATGCCCTCCGTCATTGGCTGTTGAGGGAGCGGATGGTTCTTTGTTTGGTTTTCTTTTACCTGGATGAGCAATGCTGCTATTTCCAGATCCTGTCATTTACCAACGGCAGTTGCTTCGTATCTAAATGGTAGCAATGTACCAGCCAGTTTAAATGCTTCTTTTCATAACTGGCAATGTTTTGCTTTTGTCGATCGATTTGGGGCATCAAGACGGAAAACACGAGGTTATTTCGGCTGGCTCCTTCAGCCATCGCTTATGTACGCCTAATTTGGTTTAGGCCCCGCTGCGGACACGTCGTGTCAAAATATAGGCCCGGCAACGTGCCGGTGGGCTCCAAACATAAGTAAGCTTGGGACCCACCAAAGCCCCTATACATCGCTCTTAGGTAAGGACCGTCTCCAAAGAATAATAATTACTTTTCAATGACTTCTGGGGAATAACGCCCATGTCAGCGCTGGCGGTTATTGGTCGATCATGCCCTACACACACTCACGGGTACAGGTGGGCAGTTCTGAAGGTTGCCAGCTGCCGTCGCTCTGGCAGTAGGTGTTGGCTCGGCCGACCAGTTCAAAGCCTTGGTTGCACTGATAGCTGGCCCGGCACAGGAAGTTGGAGCAGTTGTTTTCCATGATGCCGTTCTCGATTTGTCTGGCTGACGAGCACCGTTTGGCTGAAATTATAACAAAGGCGTTACTTGGCTTGCATGGGTAAACGCTCTCATCAATCTGCGATGCATACCTCGGCTGATCGGGAGCGTCTCAAATGGCACCTGTTGTCCTGAACAAGCATCAGAAACACTACAAAAAGCAGAATTAAACTTGTAGCGCAAAATGTATTGGAAGTACGTCATCGAGGTACCCTTTATGCATTATTGTGAGCATCCTTGACTAGCAATCTTGTCATACGCGGTGCAATTTTACCTGGGTTTGCTGCCGATTTTTGTGACCTCAACGCAGGGTCCAGGTTTGTCAAAAGTTGTATATCGTTTGGTCACTATGGAAATTGGCTTATTTGCTTACATTGGTTAGTATTCGGTGCCAACTGAACGAAACGAACGTGAGTTCTACCGTACCAAAAACTGTTCGGCTAACGTAGGTTTCCTTAACAATGCATGGACAGCAACCTATTTTAAATACCTTTTTTACGTTTCTGCAAAGAACGATGGCGGTAGAAAAATGCACAAGTTTAGTATACTACCAAAAACGGAATGTGCCCATGCACTTGGCCTGTTGCCAGCTATCGTTTGGTGCTGACTGCCGATTGGGTGAAGCCGGTCGCTTGATGCGGACTGCCGATGGGTGAAGTCGGTCGTTTGATGCGGACTGCTGATGGGTGCAGTCGGTCGTTTTATGCGGACTGCCGTTGGGTAAAATCGGTCGTTCGATGCGGGCTGCCGATGGGTGAAGTCGGTCGCGATTGCTGCACGGCAACAGCTCACTCGTCTTGGCGTTGCTTGCATGCTGATTTGCAGGCCAAGGTTGAGCATACGTCATTTGTTTAACTTGGCCCAAGGCTACAAGCACGTTTTTCGGAAATCTGCCAACCACGCGTGGAAACTGAGCCGCATCTCAGCAACTTCGGATCAGAGCGGCACGTGAACAACCCGTACTCGCCGGGGATATCGCATCTGTATGGAAGGCTGCTTCTTTGCTCGCGAGATAAGACACCCGCGAGTGCAGTTTTGTCATATTTACAAAGCTAGTTTACGGTTGCTGTCAGATATTGGTGGTGAGAGCGGATATGGGATTGCAATCGATCGCACAAAAACAAATGACTATTGGATGAGCGGAGCGAAATTTGGCAGTGAACCGCAGGTGGTCTTATGGCTTAACACTGCTGACAAGTCCACTACGCATTTGGGTTTAATCAAGAATGCATTTTCAACCGCATCTATCCTAGATAGCGTGCATGCATGTATTAGGAACAGCGTTACAAAGTGATTCTTTACGGCGGTACTGATTACTGATTTATTGCGATTTTATGACACTTAAGTACGACCTCTTTGCACAACAAACTCATTTATCAACATTCAGCTGATAAACAGTCAGGTCGAATTTGTTTTCCGGAGCACTTAAATCGTAAAGAAAGCAACCACCGTTAATGCCCAAAACTTGGCCTTCATCTCATTGTGCATATATATATATATATATATATATATATATATGTATTATATATATATATATATATATGTATATATATGCATATAGGATTTTTGAGTTGTTTCTTAACTGCACAACTTGCAAGGTAAAGCCGAAAAATCATGTCAAAATCGATGCACAGTGTTTGAAGAATAAAACAGCCTTGCCGTTTGGTAAAAACGTCACGATGAATACCAGCGGACGTTCAGGCCATCCAGAACGGCTAAATATACTTCGAGTGAAGAACGCATAAACGTGTCTTTTTTCCCGAGGGGGGAAGGCATGGACTAACCCTGAAATGTGGTGCACTGCGCAACCTCACTGCATGCGCTCGTGAAGTCCTGAAACTCCACTGGGTGTGGCCAGTAACCGCACCGAGCGCTGCATGCCTTTTTCACCTATAAGCCACTGATGGATCAGCTCCTGGTGACGGAGGATCGGGTGCGACCCCGGGTCAGAAGTAGTGGGTGGACTTCCCTCGGTGACGAGCTGCGTGCGCGTGTGCGTGCGTTTGAGTTCTATTCAAATAGGAAGCACATATCACTAGTAGCAACAACAGAATCCTGTAACATCTCCGATGTCACTGCGTGGTGAAGCTTCACAAAAGTAGGGGGCTGTATCCCTGTCGCCTGAATGCTGTTGTGCCCCTGAATGCCAAGCACTTGAATGACAAAGTCAGTCCCTGTCGGTGGTTCTTAGAACAGCCTGCGGGATTTGGGGAGGCAGTAATTTTGACCGATGGGAAATGACTCTGGTTAACACAAAGCTTAAACAAGCGGAATGAAAGGTATTGAGCAAGTCAAGACCGTGGCTTAAACGGAATACCGAGCACATAGCGGTATGGAAGTCATGTGCTTGGTCGTTTCTGTAGAGGGTCAAGTGCTGAAATTTGTCTCTGCCCACATCAGTACATCACCGGTGGATGTTATCGGTGGCTGCTTCAAGAGCAGCCCCGGCAAAAGGTGAATGTACGAGCTGCAGCCTGATGATGCTGGTCTCCACTAGATGAAGCACATGTGCATGCGACGCTACCCGTTCCCAGCTGAGCGGCAAGTTCGGCGGCCTAGTCATTAGCCGTACGCATGGACCTATATTCGTGCGCATGACCAGAGGCCCGGCCGTCAGGCTAGACCGACAGCCCGACCTTCCTAAATGCGCGTTTCTGATAACATGTAGTCCATTTTATATTGGCGAGAGGTGATTTTTAAAAAAGTTATTTATCTCTTATCGAACAAACCTTTACATTAGTGGCATATAGCGGCATGGTGGCGTGCCCATCAAATGATGTGCAAAGAAGGTGATATTTGCGGGACATTGCTCTTTTACCTCAATTCGTGTAATACTCCAGCACAAATATTGGGGGTCCAAACGAAATATGAGTGCCCAAATCAACATTGGGAGGTTTGGTGACACACCCTTGCAAGGCAATACAAGTCAACACCTCTGGCCAGTTGGTGGCACACCCTTGGCCAGTTTGCAGTTCAGGTCTATTACCGCCAAAATTCTGGTTTTGGTTTGTTGTCCAGGCGTCCGGTGAGCCTGTTTAGCTTCGAGGGAGCAGCCGAGGCATACTCGTTACCGATTTAAAATGGGTACCCATGAGTTTGACCAGCCCGTGAAGTCCTCGAATGCCGCGGTAAATAAAGAGCCACTTCAGAAACCGACAAAGGCCAATTCGGGTGGCGACAAATGTAAATTAAGTCATACCGTAATAGATAACGTTCATCAGGTACCTCAATATTTGAGAGCAGCCGCCGATTGAAATGAAATGGTGTGAACAGAGATCACTCGATTCGGCGGAAGAATTCCGGATTGTAGAGCATATGCCATTTGAACACTCTCTTTCACAAACCTCTCTGCTTCATCAAGAAAGCAAATGAAAGCCGAAAAAGATTGTTGTGTTAATCGATCGTGAGCATAATGTTGCATTTTCGTGAGCATTATGTTGCAAAAGGTTATGGAAGGAAAAAGATTGAAGAATCTGCCGAATAACGCGTTGATCTGGTAAATGCGCTGACGAGCTTGTGCATGTCAGTACATTTACGGCCAGCAGAGGCGTCAACATTGCAAACAATGTATCACTCGAAATCTGTAAGATCTCACAACTATGACAGTACTAGGATATGAATTAGGGAGATGCCGTCCCCTTAGGAAAATGTGGCAACAAATGGGGCGGAGCATATACGAAGCTAAGCGTCTGGCTAGTATTGCTAACTTCATTCGGCACTTTCAAAATGTTTTGAAGAGAACTGCTCAGATTGATAATGCAACACACAACCAAACCGTGTGTAAGCACATCTGCGACAATTTCAGTTGTCGATGCCCCGGTTGCCTTCGGACAGCAGATCGGTCAGAACTTTCGTTACAGTGACTTACGATTATCTATCGTAACTGAGTGACTCAAGGTCAACTCCAATCTCATAAGTTGACCTCACATGAACTCTGTTGGTGACCTGACGTGAGATTTTATAGTTTGGCTAGCCATGACTGACACACAATCAGAGCACTTGTTAAAGCACACTGGAACAAGGTAAAGTAAAAGAAAGAGGGTGAGAATTTATCCGTGTAAACAGCGCAAATGGTCAAGCAAGCTTTATTTGACTCGGATCTCGTGACGTCCTAACTCAGTGACCGGATCTCCCATTGATAAAAGTTTCCACCGGCTTGCGTTCATTTCATTAAGCAAGTGCGGTGGACTCGGTGGACGTACCTGGAACGGTTCAAAAGTTATCCTAGCAGCCTGGGGAAAGTTTGCAGTTAACTACCCCAGGCTCACGCAAGTTAGAACAATATCGTCGAGATCATGTACACCTTGGACGAAATGACGCCTCTCGCAAACAAGACCTCCTGGTGCTGTTTATCAGTTGCATGTTTTAATTAAATTTGCGTCAATTGTTGGTGCCTTCTGCCAAAGAGGTAGTGACAGCTGGCGAGCCCATTTTTCACGTGTTTCAGTCCTGCCCGAACTTGGATTTCAGCGGCGAGCTCTGGTGCACGCGCCACAAATCTCATTAATGTCAGCGCGTTACGGTCTGTCCACACCATCGCCCATAACGTTTGCTTACTTTGCCATCTTTGCCTAAAATGCAAGCGCTTCAGGCTTTGAATCTTTCCGGACACGAACATAGTTCTGAATGACGATCACAATTTTCCTAGCATGCCTCTACAATGATAGCGTGGCGCCAATTACCATTGCGGTTGAAGCGTCCTTTAAACCCAGCAACTAACACACCGATGACATAAGTCAATGTAGTAAGGCCATCGCCCACCGCAATTTTTGTGATATCTCCAAAATAAATGTCTTATTGCGGCGCGTTTCAAATAAGGCCTTTCCCTGCGCCAGGGAATTTTGCAGTTTTAGCCAGATCGCCAGTTCTTTCTATTTGAATCAAGATTTGAAGCAAATGCTATCTATTCATCGAATCACTGTTGTTGGATGTTGGCAACATATTATATATATATATATATATATATATATATATATATATGTATGTATGCGTGTAGTTACTGGTGTTTGCCTCTCACATTAAAG